GGGCAGAGAGGGACGGGATGTAAGCTAGGTACTAAAAGAAGACTTTTAAGAAGGACTTGACTGGGGCGCCTGGGTGGTTCAGTTGGGTAAGCATCCAACTTCGGCTCAGGTCATCATCTCATGGTTCCTGGGTTAGAGCCCCGCGTCAGGCTCTTTGCTGACAGCTCAGAGCCTGGAGCCTGCTTCGGATTCTGTGTCTCCCTCTTTCTCTGACCCTCCCTGGCTCATGCTGTCTCTCTCTCTCTCAAAAATAAATAAAACATTAAAAAAATAAAAAAAAGATTTGACTAAGCACAGAAAACACAAACTATTCCTGCTCTTTGGAAACTTATACCATAGGTTATTCTAGTTATGTCAGTAAGTGATAATTAGACTGAACTGTATCAAAAACATAATCAACTAAGGAGGCACTGGATGAGCAGCTAACATAACATATTAAAAGGAAAGTTTCTATTGAGAAGCAAAGACAATCAACATTCCAAAGGAGGTGTCAGAATAGTCTCAAACTTGAAGAAAAAAAAAAGTGAGAGGGGGCAGTCTAAAGAGAGAAGTGTTGAGATGTGCTATCTCCTATACCCAACGTGACAGAAGCCTCAAAGAGGTCAGAGAACAGGATTTTGGAGGAGGTTTCCTTGGGGAGAGCTACAGAAACAAGCGTCCTTGCCTTCAAGATAGAGGACAGATGATTGTCACTTATCTAAAGCCTAGGGGAAAGGGTTTTAATGGGACCACTTGAAGACCTTAATAGGTCTCAAGCACTCAGAATAATATACTGAAGGGGCATCTGATTCATGCTTGGAAAATGTAAATGATGAGAAACTGGATGAAGAGGCATGTGAGAGTAAATGAGAGATGGCTGAATTAGGACCACCATCAGTCTGTCTGGACAAAGAATGAACACTCTCTACAGCACTCCTTATGGAGTAAGCTGGGGTGGGGTCACCTAGGTGTATCCAAGCGGGTTACCTGAAGCTTGAACAGATCTCAGCAAAATAAACATGAAGGCCCTGCAACATCCAAGAGGCTGAGGAAGGAGTAAGTAACCAGCCAGAATACAGATGCATTCTCACTGTCAAGCAATCTGAGGTGAGGAATCCTGAGCAATGGAGGTAGGAGGTGGAAGATGCAGGAGTGAAGAATGAGCTTTAAATGTGTGCCAAGTCTACAACAGCACTGAAGCTAGATCTGCAAGCACAATTCAAGTGAAGTTTACTACTAGTCTTTCCTCTCTTCCCTTCTTCCTTTTCCAATGGTGGTGGGAAGGTGGAGGGGGTGTTAAATCAGCAACAGCAAGACAAAGCAAGAGTAGAAAAGCCCAGGCAGAAGAAAAAAGTCATGATGCCCCACTTTCCAATTATTGGCTTCCCCCTTGCAGTAGGCAGAGCTGGGAATAGGCATGGGGGAGAAGCACAGTCCTTATTTTAGGTTTGGTTTGTTGGTAGTGAACATTTTAATAATCAAATTGAGACCTCTGCAATTAGTTACTGAAGGACAGCTTGTATTATCTAAAAGCAACTAGAAAAGTCAAGTTTATTATCTACAGGCAGATGAGCCAGCCTCATAAACTGAATGGGACAGTGAGTAACACATAATAAAGCTGTTTGATAATTACATTACATATATTGCTTTTCGCCCTAATACAATAAAGCAGCAACACAGTGGAGAGTAGGGAAGCACACAAATGTTATCTTATTAAACATAACTCTACCCACCCAGCTTCTCTGCCTATCCTAAGATGGTTCAGCCATTAACAGTCCCAGAAACCTGCCATAACAGGACTCAAAAATCTAAAAGTGATTCTTAAAATTTGCTGGAGTAGCCTGAATATAACAGATTCACTTTAAAAGGCAGAGACTGTGTCTTGCTCTGTGCTATATCTCTAATGCTTAGCAAAGTGCCCTTTACATAAAAGGTGCTTAAAAAACTACTGTTCTTTCTAGGAGATGGCTGCTATGTTAGGTTCTAAGGAAATAGAATCTGAATATGTCTGCAGCTGAGCTGGCTTTTTAGTTAAAAATATATTGAGTCTTACTATGTACAAAATTATAATACAGATTACTTTCATACTTATCCTTTTATAACTAGTCAAGTATTTGGAAAATGCATGTATTTTCAATACTGTACTACAACAATACAGAATACTTGTGAAAATTTAAACTCGGCTATTCAAATAGAATTAATGTATATATTTTTAAAATATTTAGCAGAAAACTCTCTAAAGAAATACAATATAGCTATTAACTGCAAAATAGTTTAATTTAAAAAGAGAAGAGTATTTTAAAAATATATTAGCCAGTATTTTATTAATACTCCGTTGGCATAGATTCTCTCTTTTCAGTGACAGCCTGAATTAAGAACCTACTATCTTAGAGAGTTATAGTATCATCATCCCTCTTTTAAAGATTAGGAAACTGAGGCTCAGAATTTAATGACTTGCCCAAGGTCATATTACTAGTAATCAGTATAGCTGGAGTTTTAATTCAAGAAAGTCAGATTTCCAAGCCACACTAACTATAATGCTGAAGAGCTGAGTACTACTCTTTCCAAAAGACATAAAATCCGATTTTAATGATTATAATGTCTAACTCTGAAATATATGCTAAGCTTCCAAGCTACCTCTACTAGTGTGAATTAATAAACTCTTCCTGAGTGAAAATTCTATGTAGCAGATACCAGTAAAGTTTCTAACAATATATATTTTAATCATGATATCATTCTGATAGTATAATATTTACAGGAAGTATTTGTGACTGTAAAATTTGACAGTTTCCAAAATGGTACATAAGGGATCCATGTCTTACTGTATGTTTCAGGACCTAAAGGGTGTTGGCTCCAACAGAATCCCATTTTCTGATTATTTCATTGTCACATCTTATTTTAATAACAAAAGCAAGAGACAGGGGTGGGACAGATATTCCAGAATAAGTCAGTGCTTCTCAACAGGAGGAGAGTCCCCCCACTTGCCGGGGACATTCGGCAATGTCTAAAGACATGGTCATTGTCGTGATAGTGTGTGCAGGTGGGGTGTGCTCCTGGAGTCTACTAGGTAGCACCAGGAATGCTGTTAAACATCCTATAATACACAGAACAGCCCTGCCTGCCGCTACCAAAGAATTAGCCAATCCAAAATGTCAACAATGCCAAGGCTGAGAAACTCTAGTATAAGGGATTAAATGTCCGAGGCACTTAATAGAGGAGGTGGTGTGAGTGTTTAGAGACTGTAACCATAAACACTAAATCAGAGTCCAAGTAACACTCAGTAAAGATTAATAGCACTCGAGCCTTGAGGAGCACTGGTATGGGAGTAATCAGAGAAGGTGATAGCAGCTTCTATCAATACTCTCAACTTTAACAGTTGTGCTATTTTTTTTCTGATAAAAGAACAGAAAATTGAAAAAGCATAAGTAAATAGAAAAGTAGTTTACTGGAAAGATGAGAAACTTATAAAACTGTACACAGTTCCACTACCAACTTGTTTCTATTACGTACATCAGGAACCTAGAGGATTACAATCTCAATTAAGAACAATGGGTGTTGTGGACACACCATAAGAAAATCCAGAATAAATAAATATCCATATGCTTCATTTTGAACATCAGTATTCTGAAGACCAAACATGATTTCAGGAAACCCGGCTTGGAGCTTCCAATCGTATAAATGCCCTGAATGTATACTATTATTTCTTCCTGGGCCATCTTCTTCTGAATATGGGGATCATCTGTCACAAGATTAAGACTAAAAACTGGGTACATAGCAAGCTCTGAGACAGAGTGGACCTAACACAAAAACCAAAAACCAAAATTTTCCCCAGTGTTGCCTTGCTTTGCGTGGCTGAGTTTTACCATCATGTTCTTGCTCCTTCTTCCTTTGCTCTTCATGGGAGCCTTCCTTCTTCAGTCCTACCATATTAGTTTTCTTTCTACCCTCAGTCATATTTCTTCACCAAAATCTTTTTACCCTCTTTTCATTCCCATTTCACTTCCATTTCCTTTCTTCCAGCTCTCTTACTCCAGCCTCTCCAGGGTGCCAACTAGGACTGGAATTATATGATGGGAAGTTGGGAGTTGAAAGAGTCAGACTTACCTATCAGCAAACACCCATGATACCCATCTCTCTTCATCATACCCACACTACTAACAATTGGTTAGCCAACTCAGCTTAAACATATTAAGATCACTTCTACTAACTTTGTGAAACCACGAATCACTTGTTCTCATTAATGGGTATTGAAAGATTGCTCATGATATCTAAACTGAGCAATAGAATCTATCTGAATTGCTCTTGCTTCACAGGTATCAACTCCTCATTATTAACATTAACTAGAAAAAAGCTCACCGTCCTAAACTACAGTCGGCCAAATTTGCAGGCTTATGCACTTTAAAAATTGTCTTTTGATAGACTGAAACATTTAACTAAGTACAGACACATGATTCATCTAACAAGCCTTGTTTGACATTCTGTCAGGATAAGGCATGACTCATTAAATCCCCAAAATGGCACGCAAGGTGTGTTTTACCCTCCTACATTGCTCAGGTTTATTCTCCTAAGTATGTATCCAAGTACGTATCCAATAGAAGATACTGATTAATTGGGAAGATTCCGGGTCTTGTTGGGTAAATACGGTACTGTACTTCATACAGTAGTATAGAGGCTCGTGAAGTCTGGGCAGATGCATAAGAGCAAAACTAAAGTGATTTATTATTGTGCAATAATGGAAGTAGATCCTAATTGTTCTGTGCCGGCTTATCCCCAAAGGGCAGCGGGGTGCGAGTCCCATACACCCAGCCGTGCGGTTGAGTTATCTAGTTTAAATGAACGTCCCCGGCGTTCCACCGAAGTTTGAACGGTTCTTGGAGCTTAGTCTCTGGCTGTTGCTTCCTGAAAGGAGCCCCCTTGAACTCGCCCCGGGCGCCGGGCTCGCAGCCTCCCTGCCTGGCAGCTGAGCTCGTCGTGGCCCACATTGGGTCCCCGCGGTGCTGACCTCGCCACCGCGCTCTTACCTTGGTGAGCTGGGCGATTTTCTTGCTCATTTTCAGGTGTAGGTCCTGGTTATAGTCCATGCTGTGCCCCGCCTGCTGCGCGGCGGCCGGAGAGGGCGCGAATTTGGCCGCCCCGGCCGCCGAGCCGCCGTAATGGTGCTGCTGCCAGCTCATGCCCGGGGTCGCCATCTTCCCGATAGACCCCGGCCGGGGCACCCGTCCTAGCGCTCCGGGGGCGGGCCGCGGAGCAACAGCGTCTGGGAGGCAGGCGCCCGGACGGTCGCTTGCGGACCCGAACCCTGGCGTTTGACAGCTGCGGCCTCAGGCGCTCTCCGGCCCACGACCACCCCCCACCCCCCGTCACTCCCGTCCAGGGACGGGGCAGCCCGGCCGGCTCGAGGCCACGGGCGACACTGGCGCGGGGCAGACGCCCGGGCTCCGGCGGCGGCGGTCCCGGGCCCGGCCCGCTCTGGCCGGCTCTTCAGCCGACGCCTGGAGGGGGTGTCGTGGGCAACGCGGCCCCGCAAGTCCCGCTCCCACCCGGAACAAGGGACCCAGCAAGACGGCCGCCGCCGGGGCTGCAGAGGGAGGAGGAGACGGGGCGGGCTGGCGCGGGGGGAGGCGGGGACATGGAGGAGGACGCGGGAGCTGCGGAGCAGCCGTTACCAGGGCGCGCAGCCCGCGGAGCGCGCGGGGACGACGACGTCATTCTCCGCAGCCAAGCCCCGCCCCGCGCCGCCGCCGCCGCCGCCGCCGCCAGCCCCGCAGCCTCGCAGCCTCGCAGCTGGTGAAAGGCCTCTCGGGAGCGCCCGCCGAGACCCGCCGCCAGGTGCTTCACCCCTCGGTGGGGATCCCCGAGCCCCCACCAGGGCGGCGAGCCCCGTGTGCCCTGCGTGGAGCTCTACGTAAAAATGTCTGCGAGAGAAGATGAAGCTGTGGTCCTTCCGACTTGCAGAACACGTGCCGATTTACTGACGATTTTCCACGTGCAACATCGCGTGCGCCAGGGCTAAGTAGCTTTTGCCCAAGACGGGCGTCAAGCTCACGTCCAGTTCCCTCCCAGAGCTGGCCTCAGCACCGCAAACATGGGTAACAGGTAGCCGAGAATGGAATAATCCCTTCCTTGACCCTTTCAAACTCAAACACATATGATGGTTACAGTGTAGTAGGCCGACCTACTAAGTGCCAAGCATTGTACTTCATTCGCCGTCAAGTATGTGTGTGTGGAGAGATCACACCTCATCAGTCAATAGCATAGCACTGCACCCCTACTTTTTTTAGTCTTAATGGAGACTGAGACTATTATACATGAAATCTAGTCTGGAAGTAAAGGGGAAAAACAAAAGCTGGAACAAGATGCTAGCTCCTTAAGGATTTGGGGCTGCGCCAAATGTGTAATTACTTGTGCATTTTCACCTCTCTAAATGTGTTATTTCCTACTGATTTTCTCCTAACATCTCCTGTAGGTCAAGTAATTTTTTTAAATTTTTAAGTGTATCCTGTGTTGAAGTAAATAAATCGTTTTAGTGCAATCTTAACAGAAACTTTAAAAATGTAGAATTGTGCCTATTTTAAAAACTGTTCTCCAGGCAGTTTTGCAGAACTGAATTCCCCCACATTATGATATGTGGTTTCTCCTTAGCATGCAACTAACCATTGTATAAACTTGAGATTATTAACAAATCCGATTGGGGAAAATTGTCATAAAGTATCTGACTGTGACAAAATCTAAATCAACAAGGTGAAGACTGAAGAGCATCCTGAAATACTCCCAGAACTGTTGGAATTCCAGAAAGGAAGACTGAAATTGGCTACGTCTTTTCCCAGGTGCTAGGTACTCAGCCCACCTCCACCCAACCCCTCAAAATAAATTGTCTAGTTCTAAGGTTCTGAATGGAGCAGATGGCCAGAAACAAACATGCAAAGAGTTTGTTTCTTAGAGTTTTTAAAATTTAAAATTTAAAAAATTAGAGTTTTGCTTTGCTCTTAAACTCTAATAATTCAATGAAATTAAAGAGAATTAGGAGCTAGTGTTATTTCATCAAACTCTAGGCATAGAAGATTAAAAATCATTTTTGAACTCCTGCATCCTTTACATTCTAAGCAGAAATGTATGCTCAAAAGACTCCCCATTTCCTTAAATTTTTATAACTAAGTCTTGCTAGGGAAAAGAAGGCATTTTTGGTTTTGTCTCTATAGTATAGTGGAAAGTGAATAATACTGGAAATAAAGAGACCGGTGTATAGCCTTGGCTGAACCTGTTTGCTCCTCAAATGCCTCCTCTGAAAAGAGACAATATCCCGTTCTAACTTGTCAGTTAGAGGTTGTGATCCTGGTTTACACTGAACCCTATCACATGAGGTTCTGCCATCACTGTACAGCATAGCCCAAGAGGAGCCTTATACTAAATACTATACTCACAAGACATCCAGTATCATTCCATGAATTCAGTATTTTTGCCCTACTGCAATGGGATAACACAGGCCATTTGGTACAGAATTCTATTCAATTAATTCTGTACACATAAAATAATATAAACATAAAGAATAATATAATACACCCATAATCCTGTTACCCAAAATCTAATTTTTTAAAATCCAGTAAAGGAGGTGTTGGTTTATGCAGAAATATTTATTGAATACCTATTGCGTGCCAGGTGCTGTTAGGTCCTGAGGATGCAGTAATGACTAAGAATCAGTCTGTGTCCTCAAAAAGTTAGCCTAGCAGGAAACACAATAAGATGCAATGCAATGTGGTGTTAAAGGAACTAATAAGAGGGGCACTTAACCTCGCTTGAGGTGTCAGAGAAGACTTCCCACACACAAAAAGGCAATAATGGAACAGACTTCTGAAGGATGAATTTTTCAGACAAAAAGGGTAGGAAGGTCAACAACTCTGAAGATAGAAAGGGCAAAGCCCAAAAGGTGAGAGAGAACATAATTCACTTAGGGAGCAGGAGATGGTATGATATGGCTGGAGCAGAGTTAGTTTGATGGGATGTTAAAATATGAGAGAGAGCATATATCAAGATTATTCATGGGGGTGGTGCCTATTTGCCTTGATAAACAGTTGGGACTTTATTCTGAAAGCAATAATGAACTACTTAAGGGCTTTACACAGAGAATGAAATAATCAGATTTGCAATTTAGTAACATATTTCTTATGATTGTGGAAAATGGACTCAAAGGCAACTTTATAGGCAAGGAAACCAGTTATGAGGCCCTGGTACTTATTCAAGTGAGAGAAGATGGGACATTGACCTAAATTATGACAGTGAAAATAGAAAGATATGGATGTATGTGAAACATCCATAAGGTACAACAGACAGGACATTGAGGCTGAGGAAGACAGAGCAGTCAAGGGCTCCACTTGAGATGGACTAGAGGAGGAGGGACAGGTGGGGGAAAGTGGTAAGTTCATTGTAGAACATGTTACTTTTTAGGTACCTGTGGGCCATTCAAATGGAGATGTTCAGTTACAATCCAACAAAGAATAGGAGAGGTAATATGGTAATCAAATTTGAATACAACAAGAGAAAGTTGCTTACAAGAGAAAACCAGAAGCTATTAGTATATGAAAAGAAGCATCTTTCTAGGCAGGTTGTCATCTATGATATCCTCTAGCTTCTCTTTGAAGAGGAGTCATAACCCATGGATGGAAGCATCAGACCAAAGGAAATAATGCTGGAGACATGGGCTCATAGTAAAGCAGGGGTAGAGGCTGGTGCAGGGGAACAGTCACTGAAAGCAGGTAGAGAAATAAGCTGGAAGTAAGAAGAATAATTGCCCATTAAAGCTGGAACAGAACTTCAAGTCAAAACCTGTTATTGTATACATATTGAAGATCAGAAAAGTAGAGTTGTGGGGTGCTTGGGTGGCTCAGTCAGTTAAGCATTCAACTCTTGATATCGGCTCAGGTCATAATCTCACAGTTCGTGAGTTCAAGCCCTGCATTGGATTCTGTGCTGACAGTGCAGAGGCTGCTTGGGAATTCTCTCTCCCACTCTCTCTCCTCCTTCCCTGCTTGTGCATCCACACCCTCTTTCTCTCAAAATAAACGAACTTAGAAATTTTTAAACAAAACATTAAAAAAAAGAAAGGTTGAGTTGCACAGATTTTCAAAACCAATTAGTAATAGAGCTAGAATTAAGACCTAGATATTTTATACCCCAGTTCTTTCTGGTTTACTAAACAATAGTTTAAAGCTATTTATAGGAGAATCTCTGTTCTGATGTTCTTTGACTAGAAATGTTATTCTAAAACTCTAAGCACTGATATTTCAATTATATTGTACTTGGAATGATGTCTCTCACACTCTCAGGTTCCCTAACACACTTTCTGGCTTGTTAGAGATGGTAGGGGGAGGGAAGAAGAAAGTGGTAGTGGTGGCTGTAAGGGCTGATTAATGAAACATCCATGACTTCTTCCAGGAGTGGTCCTAACTAGTGATAACATGGTTACAAAATTTAGTAAAAATTTATGAAAATAACTTTTTTTCTCTCAAGAATCCCAAATTGTATATACTTCAGACTCCAGAAAACCTAGATTAACACAACCATCAGTATCTAAAGTTAAGAATTAATATTAGGATTGGGGTGCCTGTGTGTCTCAGTCAGTTAAGTGTCTAATTCTTGATTTTGGCTCAAGTCATGATCTCACATTTTGTGAGATCGAGCCCGGTGTAGGGCTCTATACTGACAGCATGGAGCCTGCTTGGGATTTTCTCTCTCTCTGCCCCTTCTCCCCTCTCAAAAATAAGTAAACATTTGAGGAACCTGGTTGGCTCAGTCAGTTAAGCATCTGACTTTGGTTAAGGTCATGATCTCACAGTTTGTGAATTTGAGCTCCACATTGGGCTCTGTGCTGACAGCTCAGAGTCTGGAGCCTCCAATCTGTCTCCCTCTCTCTCTACCTGTCCCCTACTTGCACTCTGTCTCTCTGTCTCTGTCTCTCTCAAATATAAATAAACATTTAAATTTTAAAAAAATAAACATTAAAAAAAAGAATGAATATTAAGATTGAAATGTGAGCTTATAAGTTAGTAGACCAAAAGCACAGGCAACAAAAGAAAAAAATAGCTGCATTGTACTTCATTAAAGTTAAAAACTTGTGTGCATTAAAGGACATTATCAACAGAATAAAAAAGCATCCCACAGAATGGGAGAAAATATTTGCAAATTATATATCTAAGGGAATAATATTGAGAATTTATTTAAAAACTCCTATAACTCAATAACAACAACAACAAAATCAGGTTAAAAAAATAGGCACAAGCACCTGGCTGACTCAGTTAGTGGACCATGCAACTCTT